ACAGGCCCTTGTCAAAAGCCCCTTTCCAGATTTCTTGTCAGCCCCTTTAGGCACTGGAAGCTGCTCTAAGGTCTCCCTTGAGTCTTCTCTTCTCCAGGCTGAACAAGCCCAGCTCTCTCAGCCTGTCTCCATAGCAGATGGGTGTTCTCCAGCCCTTGGAGCATTTTTGTGGCCTCCTCTGGACTCGCTCCAACAGTTCCACATCCTTCTTGTTTTGGTGACCCAGAACTGGAGGCAGCACTGGGGGATGTGTGTGTGTGTGTGTGTCTGTCTGTCTCACCAGAGCAGAGCAATGGGGGAGAATCCCCTCCCTTGACCTGCTGGTCACGTTGCTGGTGATGCAGCCCAGGGCACGGTTTCTGGGCTGCAAGTGCACACTGCTGGATCTGAATCACCCAAAGAGGGCTGCAAGGATGATAAGGGGGCTGGAACACCTCTCATATAAGGACAAGCTGAGAAAATTTGGACTGTTCAGCCTGGAGAAGGATGAAGGTGCATTGAGGCCTCATAACAGCCTTCCAATTCCTGAAGGGGGTCTATAAGGAAGCCAGAGTAGGACTCTTCATCAGGGACTGTAGCAATAGGAAAAGGGGTTATAGGTTTAAACTGAAACAGGGGAAGTTCAGCTTAGGTATGAGGAAGTTCTCTGTGAGGGCAGTGAGGCTCTGGCACAGGTTACCCAGAGAAGCTGTGGCTGCCCCATCATTGGTGGTGTTCAAGGCCAGATTGGATGGGGCTCTGAGCAACCTGGTCTAGTGGAAGGTGTCCCTGCCCGTGGTATGGGAGTTTGGAACCAGACGATCCTAAGTTCCTTTCCAACCCAAACCATTATGTGATTCTATGTTGAGCTTCTCATTGACCAACACCCCAAAGTCCTCCTCAGGGCTGCTCTCAATCCAGTCTCTACCCAGCCTGTATTTGTGCTTGGGATTGCCCTGACTCAGGTACAAGACCTTGCTCTAGGCCTTCTTGAACTTCATGACCTTTAAAAGCTAATTACTCCTCATATTCTTACACCAATTCTTGCATATAGGAAGAGATTAATGAAATCCAATGACAAGTTAACAATTTTGATTTATAAAGCTATTTATCAAAGAAATGTGAGCTGCTGTCACTAACTCTTGGTGCCACCTATCCCATGCATTCAAGCTTGGGGAGGTTTCTAAGCTGGTGTTGCTTGGGTTAACACCATTATCCCATGCATCTTCAAAGTCTCATATGAAAATCTAAACGTTATGACTTGCTCAGGCTTGCCAAAGCTATATTGCCAACAGAGATAAAGCAATATAGGATGTTGTACAAATCTTAAAGCCAGATAAGGTTATGCTGCCAATTTGTTGAGTGTTTATCCTCAAGTATTTTATTTCTGCAGCGTGCAAGCAGTGACAAGTAGGTAGGAAAGGATCTCAGGATTAGGGCAGCTTGTCAAAACAGGCAAATCAAGAAAATTAGGCTGACAGATCACACAAGAAGTATAGTTCTAGCTTCAGGATGCCCTAGGCTTCCAATACTGATGAGCTGGAGTACTGGTCCTGGGCTGGCCTTTAAAAATCTCATTATTAAAATGGAGTAGTAGACTAAAGTTATACATACAGGTGGGATAATCAGCCAGTATCACCCCAGGTTTTTGCATTGCTACAAAAATTCCATCTTAAGACCTAGCCTTGTCCAAAAATTAGCCAAATTGCCCTCCATGTAGCAGAGGTCACTGTTAACTGTTTTTTTTTCTACTCTGCACTGCCACTCTTCCTCCCTGCAATCCCCAATACTATAAGGCAGGACCAGCACTTCCAGTCATCTGAACTTTAAATGTGCCCTCAATCTTCCTTCTCAGCAGCTGGCCAACTGGCAGCACATGCCAGGAATCATTAGAGCAAGAGGAAGATGGACTGGCAGTACAGCCAGGCAGGAAGACACGAGCTGAGCTCCCTGTTCTCTCCACCTCATTTCAGCACATCTGTAGGAAAGCCGTTTGTCCCTTCTAAAACTATTTTCTTTCTGGAAATCGGAGATTTTAAAAGGTTAGATGTATCTATAGATTTGAAGCAGCAGATGGTGAATAAAAAAAAAAAACAAACAACAAGCATACACTGAAGTCAAAATGATAGAGTTTAGAGAAATGTGGACTGTGGAAATATTTACCAAAGAAATTAGCAATTTTGCTTATTAAGAGCAAATTGCATTGATAAACAAGTTGAAAAATTCAAAAGCCTCAACATACATGTTAACCAGGGAGCCCATGTCCTGCCTGCAAACTCACACACCATTGTACCAAACTAAAGTCTTGCAGTGCCTCAAGGCAAGTACATGGAAATCGCTATAATCTGCTGTCAAAGGTTTTGCCTGCCGTGGTTTCCAGCCAGAACCTCCACACACAAGACGACTCTAACACTGGTGAACTCATTGTGCTCTTCTGACAGCTTTCATGCTGTCAAAAACATTTTATTTTTTTTTCCCACCAAGTCATAGCACAGTTTGGGTTGGAAGGGACCTTAAAGCCCACCCAGTTCCAACCCCCCTGTCATGGGCAGGGATACCTTCCACTAGACCAGGCTGCTCCAAGCCCCATCCAACCTGGTCTTGAACACTTCCAGGGATATCAATTCATGTGAAGCCCATCTTGTCACAGGCAAGGACGTGTCAGAAGCCCAATCCAGACACAAACACATTACTTACCGGCAGCAGCTGGAATTGAATTGCTTAAGAACTGAAAGCCTTTTAGGTCTTGTCTTAAAGCTTTATTACATCAAACACTGAAGGGGAAAGGCCACAACACAGCATCCACAACACATGTGCTTAGCCACAGCATGACACATGTGGCTAAATCTGCAAAGGTGGGCAGCTGAACTAGAGAAATTGAGTTTCACATCTGACTGCTTCCACAAACATCTTTTGGCATTTAAGATATGAGGACTCTGCACTGCCCTGATGCTCACCAGCAGCTCTTTTAGAGGAAAACAACCTACAATTAGCTCAGGCTAAATCCCCAAATTAACTCTAATAAAAAGGGCTTGGGTTGAGAGAGATTATTTGGCACCACAGCATTTCTCTCCTGCCTTTTTTTTTTTTTTTGGCTGTTTCATCCAAAATCTGGGTTCATCAGACAGAGTGGATCTCTCACACCCTATCTGAGCTTCTGCCTAAGGCTCTGCCCCCAAAAGAGTATTCTGAATTGCTAAAAACATTCTCCAATGTTAGTGCCTGGATGTCTGCTGGGTTTGCATTTTGCCATCAGTGAGACCACTGGTATAGACAGCTGCATTTCTATTCTACCCTTGGGTGAAACAAGGAGGGGGCTGGCAAGTGCACTCATTGTTTAGGAACATGCCTTCGATGACAGATTAACAGCGTTTAACACAATACTGAAGCTGCCCCAAGGCTGGTAAACCTTTAATCTGACTGAAAGCAGTACTGCCCCAAAGTGAAGTGTATCCCCAGAGCAGAAACGACACTTCTATCACCTCCATAAGAGCTAAGTAAGTATATTCAGTGCTTACTTTTAGGTAAACTCACAGGTCCAAAAAGCAAACCACCTTTGCACTGTCCACAACTTCAGTGGAAGATGTTGTTACCAAAAGCAAAATTTCTAGGCTTGGGCCCTTGAGTATTTCTTGCAAAGCAGATGTGTTACTGTATTAAACTGGCAAAGTGGACTGGAAAACATGATTAAGTCAAATTCAGGACAGGTATTTAATTCCAAAATAGACCAACTGGCACACCCAATGCTCTTTTTCCCTCCCCTTTTCTTTGTTCTGAGGAAGCAGAAATGTAAGTACTTTGTACTCCCTATGGAGAATTGTTCCCTATCTCAGCAAATACACCATACTATCTCTGGGAAATACGTATGAGCAAGGACTCATGAATTAAGCTACGGTAACAGTAGTTCAATGTAGTAGTTCAAATACCATCTGAATAGCTCCATTTCTAAAGCAGATCAGTGCCACCAAGCTGGCACTTCCTTTGCCCAGCACACCAGCCTGCTCCTTGGTGGGAACAGGAAGATCTCCAAGGCAGAACCACATGCTGCTCCAGATAATACTAAAAAATAGCATGAAGCATAAAGTTTTCTAAATAAGGATTTGTGAGGCTGGTGTTTTACTTCCTGGACAGCTTTAGGGTTTGGTTTAGGTTGCTTCAATTAAACTGACTATGATATACATAAAATAATCATAGAACACTTAGAATGGTTTGGGTTAGAATATGCTTCAGTACCTGAAATCTGAACTACTTGAACAGATCTAGCTTACCTTATACAAGAGCCATGGACTAGAATCATGCATGCCTGGAAATTAAGTATGATCCTTATCACAGAATGGTTTGGGTTGGAAGGGACCTTAAAGCTCATGTAGTTCCAACTAGAACTAGTTCTCTCCCTGCCATGGGCAGGGACACCTTCCACTAGAGCAGCTTGCTCCAAGCCCATTCAACCTGGCCTTGAACACTGCCAGGGATGGGGCAGCCACAGCTTCTCTGGGCAACCTGTGCCAGAGTCTCACCACCCTCACAGGGAAGAGCTTCTGCCTCAGATCTCATCTCAATCTCCCCTCTGTCAGGTTAAAGCCATTCCCCCTTGTCCTGTTCCTACAGGCCCTTGTCTAAAGCCCCTCTCCAGGTTTCTTGTTGGCCCCTTTAGGCACTGGAAGCTGCTCTAAGGTCTCCCTAGAGCCTTCTCTTCTTGAGGCTGAACAAGCCCAGCTCTCTCAGCCTGTCTCCATAGCAGAGGGGTGCTCTCCAGCCCTTGGAGCATCTTCATAGCCTTCTCTGGACTCACTCCAACAGCTCCAAGTCTTCTTTATGTTGAAGCTGTATGCAGGACTGCTGAGATTTATCTAGTTTTCTTGGAAAAGTACCACTGACTTGAGAGCTGGTTTGCAAATGGCACCTGTACCTCAATTCTGCACGTATGTAGCATTTCAATCCCCAAAACACAGGGGTTAACAGTAAATTAAACCAAGTTGGAACCAAAGCATGAATGTGTTTTACTTGTGTAGGTTTCTCACCTTATTTCTTTAAGTCCTTCTTTCTGGATAACTTGCAGGATCTCTTTATGGCTCATAGGTGTGTTAGGATATTTCTCCAGGACCTGGCAAGCAAAAGTAGATTAAGAAGAAGTTACTCATTTGCATTTTCACTTTAATGTTTGACTGCACATGAAACTACATTTAATGGTTTGGACTCCTCCATGGCTACAACTGAGAAAGAACTTCTCACATCTTATCAACACCCCTTCCTTCCGAAGGATGTAAGGAGCAGAGATTCCACGATGAATGGCTAAAGGGCTTATTTTAGTGCAATTCCCAAATTTTATTTCACATGTGCTGCCCCCTAGATAAAGCCTCTTTGAGAATTCAACGGTCCACGGTAACAGAGAGGCTTCACAACCAAGCACCTTCACTTGGGAATGCTTCAGGAACTGTCAAGATACCTCAGATACAACACTTCCCAAATCAAAACCCCTACAGTTTGCACAGTTGAAACACCTACCAATCGGTTTGGTTGCATGTGAAATAAATTTAAGGAAATTCGGGGTTTAACACCATTAGGGTTCTTTGAAAGTCTCTGGACATGGTTCGGGTTTAAAGTTTATAAATATGGTCTATGACAACGCTCCCTGCACACAACAGTTGGACGCACTGCTGCCCTTCCCCAGCCCAGCACCCAAGCACCACTCACCTCCCTTCCAAGGGAACTAAGATGCAAAAGTATATTTCATCGTAGCAGACAGAGATGCTCAAGACTTCTGAAGGAAGATGCCAGTTAAAATACATCATAGGGATATTTTAAGCAATACTGGGGAGGGGAAGGTGGGATCCTTCTTAATCACCTGCTTTTGACTCATGCCCAAGGGTTCATTTTGACATGAACCCTTGAGTTCCAACACCAGAAAACAAAGTATCAGTGTAAGTACAAAAGTATCAGTATAAGTACAAAAACCTGCAAGTGACCTTGCAGAAGGAAACGGCCCCTTTTAATGTGTCTGTTCAAAAGCAGTGGGGAGTACACAGCTTCTCCTGAATGCCTGCACCTTATTCCACCCAGGAACATTTAAGTTACCCTGATGGCTGCAGACTTATCTTTGTTTGGAAAGGACTTTGAAAAGATCTTGCTGAACTGAGGCATCTCTCCCCTCACAGAAACAAAAGACTTACAAGACCTACGTTTAACACCATCTTTAGCTCTGGAAGCCTTAGCTGATGTCCTCATCCTCCTAATCTCTTGTTCACTTATGTTAAAGACTGACTTTCACAGCAACTTAAACCATTTCCAAAGGCTAGTATGTGACTTTCAGTGGTGGCTAGGGTGAAGCACACTCTTCACACCAGAATGAGTAGCAGAGTAGCACATGTATAAAAACAGGGAGTTTAAAACAGATTTCAGTAGGATTTGTTTACTCTCACTCTCCTGTGAGCCTCAGTGACTCATTCCATTTCTAGCTGTATTGGAACAGAGGATGCCATAAGCAACAGGATACAAAATGAAAGCGGTTGAAGTAATTTAAGTCAGACCACTGCAGGTTTTAGATTTATATCAGCTCCTAATTCATGTTCTCTCAGCACTGCCAAACAGACTGTATACTTTTATACCATTAACTTGGAACAAAACCTGAAAGCTTGTTCTGCACACTGTGCCAAAAACCCATGGAGGGCAATCAGATTTATGGTTATCTCGATTTCCATCTGTGGTGTCAACCTTTTCATGGCAGGTAGCAAAACAAATTAGGAGAAAAATAAAGCAGTGCCAGGATTCCTTTCACTAGGGACTTGAGGGTATTTGCCATTTCTCACACACTGAAATCAAAATGTGCATTCTTCTCTAGCACAGTGCTTTCCTCTTGACTTTCACTACATAGACGTGCTCTCGACAAGTCCCATCCTGCTCATACCTAGAGTGGCAACAACACATTTCATTAATTTTTCACTAGGCACAACCACAGTGCAAGCTAAAACTGTGTTTGACCACAGAATCTCATCATTAAGAGCAGAAAAGAAGAAAAGCTTTTCTAATTATATCCTTGAATGTCCACAGGATGCTTCTGTGTATCTCTCCCGGGTAACCTGTCCATACAGCTTCCTCCCACAGGACTTTTTCCTGTAGTTATGCTCAGCAAGATGACCCATCTGGCCTCCTGCCACACCTGCTTGTCTTCCCTGCAAATCATGATGGGCCACTCTTGGTCTCAGAGAAGGTTGTTCCTGAAGATCAACCAGCTCTCCTGGGTTTCTCTGTTCTGCAGGAAAGATTCCTGTAGGATCCTACATATCAGTTCCCTGAACAAGCCAAAGCCAGGCAGTTTTTCCTTCTACCCGCTTTCCTCATTTCACATAAGCTCTTCTCATTTCAGTGACCTGAAAGGAATGATGAATAGGTTGGATTTCCATGATGAAGTCTCATTTCATCACAGTCACGGAAACCAAAGGTGCCACCACCTTCATAGTCCTCCATCAGCTCTTCCACTCTGCTAGATCCTAGATCTCCTCTAGCCTGTTTGTCCAGCACCTGGCTCAAAAGCTGTCCTCAAGTAAGTCCAAAAATCTCTTTGACAGGCTGTGCCCTGTATCACTTTGTGCTTCCAGCAGATGCCAGGGTAGAGTCAGAGCCAACTCTGAACTCATAAGCTTCTTCCAGTGGTCTGTAGAGGGTCATGCACTTCCTCTTCTTGATGAGCTGGTCTGCAGCAAACGCCCACCACGGTGTAACCCTCCCCTCTGAACTTAACTGATAAGCTCCCAGTTGAGTTATCAGCAGCTATACAGCACAGCTCTGCACGCTCCTAAAGCTGTTCTTTAGCAAAGAAGGCAAACCCTTCTTCCTTTTCCATGTCCCTCCTTCCACTTAAAGCACCCGAATCATCCAGCCCTCCATGAGTTTAATCTCACCAGCACTGAGGCTCTGCACATAACGAGAGCTAATCAAGAGGGAACAGAGCTATTAGTATCAAAACTGCACACAAACCTCCAATTCCTCCTGTCCCATGCTGAACACATTTACACATAAGCATTTTGGGCTGGCCCACGGGTACGCTGGGGAGGTGCAAGAGTTCCTCTAGAGAAGTGGAAGAGGCTCCCCTGTCACAGACACCCAAGTGCCTCTCTTCAACTGATACTTCCCTTCTGATTTTCAGTCACATTCCCACACCAAACCTAGTTTAAAACCCTCCATGCTGTCAGCAGCCATGCTGGCAAATATGCTTTTGTCCATTTTATTAGATGGATGCCATCTCTTGCCATCAGGCTGCATCCCTAAAGGAGTCCCATGGTCATAAAACCCCCACCCTGTCTATAAATACTAACTGTGCAGACAGAAGCTGATGCTCAGGCAACATCTCCTCCTGCCTAAGCCTTTCCCATTCATCACCAGAATCTAGCAGATCACCCAAACCCTCAACGCCTCTGAAACTCGCTCTCAAGGCCTGGCATTGACCTTTTATCTGCTCAAGGTCTCCTTTGGGAGACCTTGGACAAGATTTTGGGAGATCTAGAACAAGGGGAATGGCTTTAACCTGACAGAAGGGAGACCGAGATGAAATCTTAGGAAGAAGTTGTTTTTTGTAAGGGTGGTAAACCCCGGCACAGGCTGCCCAGAGAAGCAGTGGATGCCCCATCCCTGGCAGTGTTCAAGACCAGGTTGGATGGAGCTTGGAGCAACCTGGTCTAGTGGAAGGTGTCCCTGCCTGTGGCAAGGGGTTGAAACTGGATGAACTTTAACATCTCTTACAACCTAACATTCATTTTACCTGCCAGATAACAGCACAAACTCCAGTTTATTTCCATTGGGCTGGATGTACAAGAACATTCACTTGAGGACATGAATCTCTGGTGGCTTCTATGTACAGAACTGCGGGATTTTGCTAGAGCCACTACTGTAGTGCCACAAGTCTGGGTACTGCAAAAAGAAATCAGTATGAAATGGCCTGTTCTCAAATGCACAAGAAAAGCACTGTAACTCCAGGTTAACTATTAACACTGACTTCAAAGTAATGCAAATCTATTTCAGGACACTCAGGAACATGAACATATCCAAAAAGGCTGCTTGTCTGCTGGGAGAGAAGACTGAGCTCCAAGCACCTAGACCTTTCATTGAATTTCAATCCTAAATGTTCAACAGATGAATGAGAAACTTCACTTTGCTCCTCTCCGCACCCCATAACACACTGATAAAGGCAAACAGCATGAAATTAATGCTGCTGCCAATATAGTTTGAGACTTTGGCAGTGCTGCTTTGCTCACCAAAAAACCAAACAATTCAAACTCTGGCCATCACTGCTGAGGAAAGACCTCTAAACAGTCTTCATCAACACAATTATCTACTATCAGGTTGCCTGCTATTTGGCAGTAAATAGTTCAAATAAAAATAAAAAAAAAAGAAAACAACCAACCTTCAAACATCAGGGTTGGTACCACGTCCAAGACTGTTTTCCATTAACAACCAGATGACAGCACACAGCACATCCACAACAGGCTCACAAACAACACAAACCAAGGTGGAAATCGATGATGCACAAGATGGCTGTGTGGCCATTCAGAGGGACCCTGAGAAGCTGAAGAAACAGACGCAACCTCAAGTCCACATGGAAATTCCAAGTCCCCAGCACATAGAGAGGAACAATCCCTTGTTGATCATGAGCCAGCAGCATTCCCTTGATGCAAAACAAATAGGCCACCAGCACCTGAAGGCCACTGCCACCCTGGGCTACACAAGGCAGAACTAGTGACAGCAGGCTGATGGAAGTGATCCTTCCCCTCTACTCAGGAATGTTGAGTCAGTGTCTGAAGTGCTGTATTCAGCCCTGGACTCCCCAGTTCAAGGGAGTCACAGACAGACTGGAAGAAGTCCAGCAAGGGACAAAGATAAAAAATGCTCCAGTCCCTTAAAATTATATGGAGGGTAAGACAGAGACCTGGCATTGTTTAGCCTGGAGAAAACAGCCTGAGAGAGCTGGGCTTGTTCAGCCTAGAGAAGAGAAGGCTCTGGGGAGACCTTAGAGCAGCTTCCAGTGCCTAAAGGGGCTGCCAAAGCTGGAGAGGGGCTTTAGACAAGGGCCTGTAAGGACAAGACAAGGGGGAATGGCTTTAACCTGACAGAGGGGAGATTTACATAAGATATTAGGAAGAAATTGGAGAAGATCCTTTCTCACTCAAACCATTCTACGATGAAGGCCCAGAGGAATCTTAACAGTGTGTATAAGCACTTGACAGGACATTATAAAGAACACCAAGCCAGACTCTTCAGTGGCATCCACTCAAAGGACAAAAGGTAATGGGCACAAGTTGAGTGTGGTGGTGTTTGGGGTTTGATTTATTTTTTTTTAGATTATTATCCTGGCAGTGGTCAGACACTGGAAGATGTTGCCTAGGGTAATGAAATCTCCACCCTTGGACTGGACAATGTCCTAGGAACCTCACTTTCAGCAGAGTGGTTGGACTAGGTGATATCCAGAGGTCCATTTTGACCTCAAGTGATCAGAAGAAGCTGATTTAGTCACTAACAGACCAAGGTTAAGTATCACCACATAATTTTATGTTCCCCTTTCCTGTTCCTGCTTACTAGCTGGCCAGGTTAAATCCACAGAAGACATTTCCCAAACCAAGCTGTGAACCACTTTCCACAGGCTATTATGAGTGCTAAACCATGCATGGCAAGAACAGGAAACTCAGAGGACATTAATACAAAGTTAACACCTTCAGGTTAGGTACTTCACACAAAGACTGCTGGGAGAATATTTTGAAGAAAAACGACCAAGCCATGATTGCCTTAATATGTAAGAATTTTCCTTAGCCATCTGTTACTATCTATTGTCAAGACACCTTTGTGACAGATGAATTCTATTAGACAATATAGACATTCCTAAAATTATAGAAACAGCCTTCAGAAAGTATTTAATGAAGTAGTTGTCCATGTAATCTAACCAGCTACACAGCAAGAAGCGATCTCAGACTTTCACTTATGATAACCGGAAACATGGAATGGGGGGAAAGAAGGATGAAGAAGTAGAAAAAAAATATTTAAAAAGCTTAGCATCCTCATTTATCTCAAAATCCTGGAAAAACAAGCACATTAAGTTGGAAGTCTTCACAAAATAAAGCAAGTTATGGTCAGGAAGAGAAGTACAGATTCAAAGATATATGGATTTTAGTCCGAATGGCTACCTGTACACCTTTGACATATAAGACCTAACTGCAGAAAAGCGTCCTCAGATTCACTATCCCTATCCCAAAAATAGGCATTGGAAACCCTTTGATGGTCTGCAAGTTCAACACAACATCTAACAAGGAAAAATAAAACACTGCCACTATTGCAAAAGCATGAAGAGGAACAAGTCATTGTCTAAAGGCTTTTGGATCACTAAAAACATTTTATCCAGTGAATACTAAACAATTAGGTATGGATCAAGTAGAACAAAACCGTGAGAAGGGCCCAAGATTTGGAAAACATGCCTGATACTTAAACTCAGCCTAGACAGGCTCATCTGGAAAAACAACTTCTCTGGCTCAGCAGCCACAGCTTCTTCAAACACTAGAATGTTTGCACGAGAATTTAGAGGCGTGTTTACAGTCCCAGAAACCCCGAAGCTCACATATCTCCTGTGCACCCTGATCCCCAACCAGATCTAAGAGCAAACCACACGGGAAAAGTTGGACAACCCACCCTCAAAAGTGGCCAGGGGACTCCAAGTTGCACGCCCACACCTTCTAATGGCATGCAGCCCCACATCAAATAACTTCAAGCAACATGCCGTGCTCTACAAATACCCCAAATGAGAGTAATGAACATTTAAATCCTCCTGAACCAGTCCACAATAGGGCTGCTTCATGTCTATCAACACACAACTCATGTGTTATCTGTAACTGCCTTTAAGGAAGGGGCACGGAGACCCAACACAGTCCATGATGTTAACCCAGGTGTTGCTCCACAGCCATTCTGTCTCACTGCTGTTTTGCTAATTTTAGTTAATTCTGCCCTGCAGGGTCAAAGCTTCTTGTGTTGGTCAACTACCACCACAGGTGAAACCACTAAAACTACCAGCTTTGGCTACACAGGACCAAGATAGATTAGCACTATCTGGTAAATGTTGTCATCTCATGTTCTTTAAGAAACTCAGCCTACACAGATAAGC